TTGGAAGCTGCCCAGAGTGGCTGGGGAAGCCCAGCCAGATGGGCGGGGTATAGATATATTATTATTATTATTATTATTATTATTATTATTATTATTATTATTATTTCAGTGTGTGTACTTTTTAAGCACTTTCATGAGATGTCTAATACATCGTTTGCCTTTGTCCAATCTGGCCTTTGGTACGAAAGTATTACGCTTAGCAATTTTGCTGCTCTAGGAGATCTTGAAATAAAATGATTATCTACTTTTTCATGTCTTTTATTTCCCCCCCCCCAACGGTTCAAATATGTATGAATAATAAAGTGGATTGTTTTCTCCAGCCTAGAATCTAATAATTTATTTCAGACGGTAGTTCTTTTTCTTTTTTTAAGTCTTGTAGTCATGCATTTGAGCCTGGAAAAATTCAATGAAGCAAAACTGGCAGTTTCAATGAGGTTTTCGGCCAATAGAGATTAAAGATATTGGAAAGTCTCCATATAACTTCAAACGTTTTTGGACAGGGGCCTCTAGCAAAAGCCACAGTTTACTCTATAGATATCAGTTTCCTACAGAAAGTTGGTCCACTTGGTAGTTTGGATTCTCTCATCAGATTTGTGCAACTAGAAATATTAATAATGTAAATAAAGGCAAGTAGGCATTTGGTGCATGCCAATCTTCCCTCCGCCCTTTTAATATGCTCTGCGTCCCATAATCTTCCCTTCTGTCTTATCCAGCCTCTTTCCTTGGGTTTGTAAAACAGCATCACAATGGTCTCTGCTATCAACTCCACCTTGACTATAGGTTGGCAGGGGGCATTGCCCCTAGGAAATCAGTGGAAATTAGTTCAAATGCTCTCAGAGGATTTGCAGTTTGTAGATGCAACCTAAGACCCTTAATTTGACTGATATTTGCTGCTGAGGATTTAAACTGATACCGGGGAAGAGGTTCAGCACTTGCTGGGCTGATGGTCGACCAATTTTGCTCATGTTTAAATGGCTAATTGATAAGCCCTTTACAACTGGGAAGATCCAAAGAAACACTCGTGGAGTTCCACTCATGCAACAGGGGTTTCTGTTGTTTCGTTCTGGCTTCACCTCCTTCTGTCCCTGAAAAACCATTGCTAAGGGTTGGGGGAGCTTCAAGAACAGCATGGTATGCAGCAAGGGACGCGGGTGGCACTGTGGGTTAAGCCACGGAGCCTAGGACTTGCCGATCAGAAGGTCGGTGGTTCGAATCCCCGTGACGGGGTGAGCTCCCGTTGCTCGGTCCCTGCTCCTGCCAACCTAGCAGTTTGAAAGCACGTCAAAGTGCAAGTAGATAAATAGGTACTGCTCCGGCGGGAAGGTAAACGGCATTTCCGTGCACTGCTCTGGTTCACCAGAAGCGGCTTAGTCAAGCTGGCCACATGACGGGAGCTGTACGCCGGCTCCCTCGGCCAATAAAGCGAGATGAGTGCCGCAACCCCAGAGTCTGTCACGACTGGACCTAATGGTCAGAGGTCCCTTTACCTTTAAGCTAAATGTTTAAATAAATGAAGCAAACCTAAATGTAACTAGGGGCAAAGACTCTGTTTGCTCTGCTCACCAACCCCCCTGCCACCCCCACCCCACATGAAGGATTTCCTTCCCACTCCATGCAACTACTCAGCTCGCTTTTCACCTTCTCCATCTTATTTCTGAAGTCACTTCTCTACTCTGCAGCCCTGCTTTGCACCCACTTTTACCTTCACCCCCATGCTCATATCTCCTCCTCCTTTTACACCTACTCTCCACTGCCTTTGCACACAGACTGTCTGAATGGTAATCTCTACCTTCCTCTTCCACACATTGCAACTACTAAGCACCCTTTTCACCTTTCACCCAGTTAGGAAGCCACCATCCCCTCCTATTCTTCAGATTCTTTCATGCCCCCACTTTCATCTTCACCCCTTTTCCCATACCTCTTACTCCTCCTTTTTTGCACCCTCACTTTCGCCTCACCCTCTTTTCCCTTCTCCATTTCCTTACTTTTCTCAACTCTCTTTCCATGCCGATCACCCCCATTTCCATGCCTTAGCCTCTCTCCTGTTCTGCAGCCCCCTTAAAACACACACACCCTGCTGATATATATGACTGCATCTTTAAGATGGAAAATATCTTAAGAGCAAGCCTGTCAGTTAGCTGGTTCAGTTAAAGTCCAGTTCAGTTGATGGGTGTTGTGCATATAAGGGTGTTTGCTTGTTATTTTATATAGCTGTTCTAAATTACTACATTGACTCTGGGCCTTCCTGCTGAAGACCACACATCATACCAAGAGCAAAATACATTTTATGAAAGTACCATATTTTTCCGTTTATAAGACGATATTTTTTCTTAGAAATAATAGGCTAAAATTGTGGATAGTCTTATACATGGATAGCAGATTGTTTGCAGGCGATTGTTTGCAGTAGCCAGCAGGAGATTGGCAGCAGCAATTGGGCATGTGATTGGTTTCTGTGGCAAGGCCTGCTGCCGATTGGCTACGGCTGCAGCATGTGGGCGGTCCATTTACAGCATCGGTGAGGCATGTGTGCAATCGGCTGTGGTTGCATCGAGTGTGCAGGTGGGCTTTTGTTGGCGAGCATGCAGACGATTGGTGGCCACAAAAATGCATGCAATTTGCCATTGTCAGGCAGGCTGTAGAGCGATTTGGGGCAATGACGCCCCCCCCAACAAAGCTCAACAACTGTGAGCAATTCCCCCCACCCCAAAAAATTTTTTGTGGCGGTCCAAAAAAATAGGGGTTGCCTTATAGATGGGGGCGTGTTATACACGGGAACATACGGTACTATGGAAACAGTTGTTTTCCTCTCAGTATCTCCCCACCCCTGTTTACTCAGTTATTTAGAACACTAACTCCCCCCCTTCATTATTTCTCCTTTCTCACTGAACTCAAACGCCTTCCTCTTCGATGCTTTGACTACCTCATATGACAGAATTGAAGGATTCAGAGCCCTCAAATATTCCATAGTACTTTACTCAAACATCTTCTATTGTTTTTTAACTGCGATTTCCATCTCTGTCCTTGTGTTACTCAAACCACCACTTTCCCCCTCCTTCTCATCCCATGCTATGGCCATGGCTATTTTAAAAGCCTGCTCCCTTAGTCCACCTTGTTCATGCAAATTCAGGTTTGTCCCAAGGCCCTACAAATGCTACAATATCAACAATATATTATTGTCCATATTCTAATTGTACTATGCAAGCCACTTTGCATAGAAAGGCAGCCAATAAATCATTTAAAATAAATAAAAATATATTTCTAATTACTCAAGATAGCTCTTCTTTAGGCCTCTTCTTTCCGGGTTTGTTTCCTTTGGCAAGAAGGCATGTGGCATTTCGCTAGCCCAAACCCACCACCATCTCAGTTCTTCAACTTCATGGGAAATTATGAAATGACAACACAGAAGAAGAAGAAGAAGAGTTTGGATTTGGTATCCCGCTTTATCACTACCCGAAGGAGTCTCAAAGCGGCTAACATTCTCCTTTCCCTTCCTCCCCCACAACAAACACTCTGTGAGGTGAGTGGGGCTGAGAGACTTCAGAGAAGTGTGACTGGCTCAAGGTCACCCAGCAGCTGCATGTGGAGGAGCGGAGACACGAACCTGGTTCCCCAGATTATGAGTCTACCGCTGTTAACCACTACACCACACTGGCACACAGAACTTCAGTTTCCAAAATTAATGGCTTCAGTGATATTCAGCCCGGTCAAAATAGGCAGATCTGCTAGAAAATTGCCATATCATCTACTGAGATCATCAATATAAGTTGCTCAAGCTATAAAATATATAATTAGATGATCACAGTGTATAGTTCAATTACTACATTTTAAAGTACTAAACCTACATGGCTCTAGCTGTAATAGAAAGGTGTTGATCAATAAATGTGATTGAGCAAGTAAAAATTAAGTGACTGGATGTGATAAAAATATGTAACATAGTGACTATAGCAGGCAAGTCCTTCAACTTAGGTATTTTGATGCGCAAGGTTTTTTAAAAAGTATATTGCGAACTTTTCGATGATCTTATAGTAATTAATGGAAAGCTGGAAGATAACAGGTGAAAGATATTTGCTAAATGTTGCTGTGATTTCAGATTTCCTTTGTATGAGATCTGTCTTCAGAAGTCCTAGATCTATAGAATTCCTGCTCAGCAGAATCAAACCAATATGTTGGATAACTTTTAAGGCCAGAACAAATCCCTACCAACTATCTAAATGAACTGATCCAGATACTTCAGTACATCCAAATTTACTATTCATAACCGTGATGGACATACTCCCAAAATATGGGGTTGGCTCTAAGTTTAATCACATATAGAGTGGACCCACTGAAACTGACTAATTTATGCCCCACTGATTTCAATAGGTCTACTCTATACCTGTTTAGAGTCAAGCCCATGAAAACATATAGGAAGTCTTTTCAGGTTCTAATTGTACATTAGTACTTAAATAAATGTGGGAACTAGGAATATGGCAGCAATGGGACACTACTGTACAGATTTGGCTGGGTCATAGAAAATGCCAAAACCATAATTTGGCTTTAAACCTCAGACTTCCATGTTCCCTTGTGTGCCACCCATTCATGCACTCCAGTTGAATTAGTCACTTCCTAATTTGTGGCAGGGACACAGGTGGTGCTGTGGGTTAAACGGCGTTTCCGTGCACTGCTCTGGTTCGCCAGAAGCGGCTTAGTCATGCTGGCCATATGACCCGGAAGCTGTACGCCGGCTCCCTCGGCCAGTAAAGCGAGATGAGCGCCGCAACCCCAGAGTTGGCCATGACTGGACCTAATGGTCAGGGGTCCCTTTACCTTTTAATTTGTGTCAACCATAGCTTGCTGTTACACCCAAACTATCAAACTATGTATTTTGCCCACCCTGCAAACTAGCTCATAGTAAAATAACCAGCATTATGTGTGAACAACCACAAGTATAACCCTACAGGATTATATAGGAATATATACATATATATATATATATATATATATATATATATATATTCCTATAATGGTGATGTTAGTGGTAGTAAGAAGCAGGGGATACACACACACACACACACACACACACACACACACACACATATATATATATATATATATATATCCCCTGCTTCTTACTACCATTAACATCACCATTATTTTAGGACTGGTTGTTTCTTACGATAATCACACCAGATAACTGCAAGATAGCTAGCTATATAGCACTTGTATAAACATAAACCAATTTAAAGAAAGTTGATAGCGATTGGGAAAAAGTAAAATGGTAATTGGGAACAATCCAAAAGACAGATTTTTTTAACATCCACCTTTCGAAACGCAGCATATTGTAATTTTTCAGTATTTGTCCATCCCACTTTATATGAGAAGGATAAACTCTAATATCTGAACTTGGTTTGTTAAAAAAAAAACTGGGAACCTTTCCCCCTCAGAAATCCCAAACAGACTTCACTTAAAGAGGAAATAAAGATTTTCAGCATTCACTGAATTTTTTCATCTCTCAACTATACTTCATATATTCCCTTCATACATCAGCATATTTGTAGGATCTATGAATTCATGGAGACTAGAAATGGCAAATTTAATCCAGCTTCCCCCTCCAGTTCAATGTAACACATGAGTGTTTCTGAACTCCTGGATATACTGCAGTGATGCAGGAATTCGGTTATTATTTATCATTAGAGAGTAATCATTTCCTCACTGATGGGTGGGGGAATTAATTATGGGTTAAAATTCATGCCAACTGCCAATCTGACAATGAAATATATTTGAGAAACATCTAGGTTTCCCCTTTTAAATCTTTTTTTTCATAGCCATAGCCATAATTTATTGTGTCACATCAACAGAGTCTAAATAACCATTAAACAAGTTGAAGCATAGACATCAGACCACTTTAGGAGTTATAAAACGCAGCCTCCTTTCCTTATCCACAGTTTGTACCTTTGCGGGAATCCAAGATGTCACTGGTAAGATGCTTCTTTTTGTTTATTTGCTTCTTGTTTCTTACTGAGTTTAATTTCAATCCATGGAGACACTGGTGTGTTGATGAAAAGAAGGGAAATCTAATAGTAGGAAAGATATTTGTCCTGAAAATTACTATAGATCTGTTCACACACTGAGCAGAACTCAATGAGCTTTCTATGGTATTTTAGAAAGTTATTGTCCATCTAGCACAGTATTGTCTGCTCTAACAGGTAGCTGCTCTTCAGTCCCTCAGGAAGAGGTTTTTGTCCCATCACCTGCTGCCTTTAGATGGAAAAGCATGTGCAAAAGCATTAATTTAGATTATCCTTCCCTTAATTTACTATGTCAATCAAGCTTCAAATAACACAGCAGCCTAGTCCAACTTTTTACAACAATTATGCACTGGGGCTGGGAGTGGTTGTCAGGACTGTATAACACCAGTCCTGAAAGACCTACATTGGCTCCCAGTACGTTTCCGAGCACAATTCAAAGTGCTGGTGCTGACCTTTAAAGCCCTAAACAGTTTTGGCCCTGCATACCTGAAGGAGCATCTCCACCCCCATCGTTCAGCCCGAGGAGTACACGCACCGTAATGATCATCCTGATACCATAATGATCATCCTGATCACCATAATGAGGTATCCTGATATTATCATTTCTGTTCTATGTGATTTGCACTGGCTGCAGATTAACTTCTGGGTACAACTCAAGATACTGGTCTTAACCATCTTCCTTAACCTCATGCCTTCTTCTCTATCCTCCTCCCTGCACACACACATCAGCTGAGGCCCTGCTCTGGATCCCTCAACCTCAGGAGGAGAGACTTGTATCAGCTAAGGATAGGGCCTTTTCTATTCTGGCACCTATTTTAAGGAATGCCTTCCAAGAGAGGTCCATAAGCTACATCATTATCCAGCTCCTGGCAGTTGGCCTGACATTTGAAAAGTTAATTGGGTGGGTTTTTGCCTAAGTTATTTCCACATATTTGGAATCATCCTGTCTAGATTTACCCATCCATCCCAGCTTGGATCCAGAACAAGTTATCTGGACATGGATTAAAATAGTTGGAAGAGATACGGGAGAGCTCATTCTCAAATAAGCCAAAAGCTCATTTTTCATGGTCCTGTCAGCAAACAAAGGAAATCAGACAGTGGCCAAGACTGGGCCAGCTACCACCACATTGAGAGCTATGGGTTTAACCTTAGCATCAGACATCTAACCACCAGAACTGTGTCTTTCATTTTTGGAAAGTGCTAACGGTCCATGCTGCCCCATCCAGGTTCAAGAGTTTGGAAGGACAAAAGATGGACACTAGGGGTAACCCCCTGAGAAAGAAAACTAAGCTCAGAACCCTCTGCCTCTGTGCAGAAAACTTTTAATCTATTGTGTATGTCTTTTTACACACATTTATCAATAGATAGACCGACCTACATATTACTTAGAAAAAAGAGGGAGAACATTCCCTTTTTCAAAACCTCAGAAATATTAGGACCATTGAACTGAACTATCTAATTTAAGATGCTCACTTGACTTAGAAGGGAATCCTGACTCACAGACACATGCATTGATTTAGAGTTCCACCCATTCATCTTTCCCTTTCATAACATAATAAATGTCTAGACACAAGATATATAGTTCTTAATGGGATGCATATTTAATCATCTGTGCTCACACTGCAGTTCTCCTAAGTTGGTTAAGAAAAATGACTGTGTTAGAATACATGTAAACAAGTTTGCTGAGAGGTAGGTTACAAAAGAAAAGAAAAAGAATAAATTATGTCTACCACTTAATATAATTATGTACTGTGTTTTAAATAAACCAACATTTTGTTTTGTGGTATTTTAACATTATTTTTAGCACAGTATTCCATCTATGTTTGAGACAAATCTCACACTAGAGCTAAGAATAGTTTCTATTTAAAAAAAAACACCTGCAAAACAAAGAGAGTTGTATTCAGATAACCTTTTCTCAGAGTAAACTCGTGGAATTTAATGGACCTAAGTTAGTCATGGCTATCAAATGGGTCTCCCCAGAGTAAGACTTTGCTGAATACAACTTTGGGAAGCTCTCACATATTCCATGGGGGAAATATTTTTTTTAATTAAAAAAAAGTTGTTTTTAAGAAATGGCTTTGAATCAATTAAGCAATCATAACAAATAAAGCATGAAAGAATATTAACTATCCAATCCAAGTAGCTATTCATTGGTCATGACAAATGTGAATCAAAAATAAATACAAGCAAAAGGGGTGTTGTGCCACAAATAATGGCCTCTACTGTATTTAGATCTCTGTGTGTCTCTTACAGTTCACTGCTAAGGTCCAGGGTCTTCTTTCTGATATTTTTGGCCGCCAAAGCAAAAAGGGCAACTTTCTGAGTCACTGAAGTGTTTACATTGCTAAGAAGCCATAGGATCTTCTCTGCTGGTGAGCTAATATTAAATATACATTAATAAATACAAGTTCAAACCCAAATGTGGCTCATAGTTAGAAAGAAGCTTCACTAATATTTAGGGTCTTGAAAACTTCAAATCATGGGTTTTTATCATTCAATGTAAAGGAAGGAACTTAGGCACAAATGAAACCATCAAATAAAACTATCCATTCATCCCAGAAAACAATAGTGCAACCTCCCCATCGCTCTATCTGCCAGGTAGTAGTAAGAAATCTGTAGCAATTTTAAACAGAAATGAAGTATTGCGATGAAAATCCATTAGAATACTCAACTCCAGAGCTATAAGACATACCCACTTAACTGGCTAAAATCCAAGTGCTTCATCTTAATAACTGGTTTGTGAATCATACTCTTGAGAGTTGCCAAGCTGAATTCCAAGTTCAAATAAGTCTGGACTGAAATTAGTCAAAATGAACCATTTTGGATTGACAAGAAGTTACTGCATGTCCCTAGCCCAACTGGTGGCATATACAGCAGCTAAGAGCATGTATCCCTTGATAAATTAATACAGTGTACATTTTCAACTAGTTTCAGGGCCAGGAGCTGAATACAGCTGTCTTCTCCTGCTAAAACAATCAATGTTCTCAGTGATGATCGCATCTGCTCTGGTCTGTGCGCCGGCTACAGAATTGGAGCAGGAATGGTGCACACACAATTTCTAATTCAGTTGCTGACGGACGCAGAGAAACTTCTGCACTATCACAATGGCTGCTGTAGCTAAATTGAGGTGACCCCAAGCATGAGCAACAGCTCTACACCATGGCGGGAAGGAGCCACCAAGAAACACCAAGGAGCCACCAAGAAACAGTTTCCCCTACCCTTAGTGGATTGATTCCATCATACCAGTGATGTGGAAGGTGCTTCGATGCAACTTATTCTTATGTGAATAATGTGGGAGGAGCTCATACTGCAATTTCTTCCCAGGCCCACATTTTAGAAAGGGCAGCACTGGCTGTAGGAAAAGTCATAGGATGGGGTCCTCATCTTTCCAAATGGCCTGGGACTCTTGCCTAAAACTGAGTCAGACCATTAGTTCACTGACTGTCGGCATCTCCCCTGGGTTTCAGACAGGGGACCTGAAGATGCTGGAGACTTGACCTGGGACATTCTGCATGCAAAGAGGGTCTATCACTGAGGCACAGTCCTTCCCTATGACATTACCCTGGTGACAGAGGGAGGAGCCTCACTGTAGCAAACTCCCATTCTGCCAGCATGAGGTAGGAAGGGGACCACTGACAGCATGATTCAGAGGAGGGGAAGCTGTAGCTCTCTAGTAGTTCTTGAACTCCAACTCCCTTCAGCCCCAGCCAGCATGGCCAACATCCAGTGTTTATGGGAGCTGTAGTCTAATCCAAAAAATATATCAAGGGTCATAGGTTCCCTGCCCTTGGTATAATGTGTAGATCAGTTCCACACTTCATTATCATGTTTATTTATTAAATTTTTATACTGCCCTTCATTTCAAAATCACAGGGCGATTCACAACATAAAAATACAAAATGAGAGCACAAAATAAGTAATAAAACAAAACAAACCAATAACCCCTTTCCCCCAAAAAAACACATTTAACCGGCCTCAGAATGTTAATCAGACAAAGGCCTGGCAATAGAGAAACATTTTTGCCTGGCGTGAAATTTTAGACTATGATGAATATGGTACATCCCATAAAGAAAGTATTTGTTTTTTTCCTACGTATGTCATTTCTTTACTTTTTGCTCCAGGGGGAAAAA